AATTAGTATGGAATAACATATGGCAAAGCACAAACATCAACAGACTCTATGTGTTTAGCTTTAGACCATACTTGGACCTGATGCTCCTCCATTGTTGTTTTCTTGGAACAGGGGTACTTCTTTTCCTATTAAATAGTCATTCTTGATCATCAAAACCACACCACTGGTCCAATTTCGGAACTGATAGTATCTGGTTCAAGTATTTAGTATAAGGGTGAGGTGGTTTCATTGGTGGTTCGGGTTTCTGTTTCGGAAGAGGCAATGTGGTGGTGGTGCCTCCTTATTAACAATAGAAGGTGGTGCCGCCTTGTTAACAACAACAGGTGGTGGCTTAGGTCTGGATAGGGGCGGTGATCGGGCTGCAACATGATTTGGAATTGAGGGTAGTGGCTTGGGTGTGGGTAGTTGGGCTACAATGTGATTAGGGACTACAAGTTATGGCTTAGTTGTAGGAACATGGGGCGGTTGGGCTGCAACATGGTTTGTAATTACAGGTGGTGACTTGATTGGGGAGGGTTTGGCCGGAATGTCATTAAAAGCAGGAAATTGTGGTGTTTTAGCAGGGACCGAAACTGGTTGGGGATCTATCATGCCGTTAACGCTCTGACACTTACCACCCACCTTAAAGCTATTCAGTGACGCCCCTTGAGATGCCCTTGCTTATCTAACAAACTTGAGCCTGAATTTTGGACAGGATCTAGTTTCCTTCCATTTTCTAGGGAGATATTAGAGCTGAATCGGCCCATCTTGTTTGGCCGGGATTCATTTTTCAATTTTGGTTTGTTTTAATGAAGATGATGATTTGGCAAAATAATTTTCACATAATATTTTTTTAAGTAATTTTCTACCAAGTCATATGAAATTACCAGTTACCTATTCAACAGGTTAACCAGATCCTTAAATAAACAAAAAGTTTGATAGAAGCCCCTAAATGACGATTTTGAAAGTTGGTTCTCCAATATATGAATCAGGTAAAAGTTGATTTTATTTTAATGCAATTTTCCCTTATCAATTTTATGGAGTATTTTTTATATCGAAAGTTCTTCATTTATTCAATATTTTAATTATAATTTAATTTATTTAGATTTAATGATGACGATGTAATTTATTTCAGTTTAATTGTAATGTTTTTTTATAAAGATAATGATGAAGTATTTTGACAATATTATCTTAATTATATTTAGATATTTTATATTTAAAATAAAGTGTTTGTTCTGTATTTGATAATTTTTATCGGCTAGTTATATTAACTCAAACATGTATCTCTAAAGAGTTGTGTTTATGTACCATTTACCTGTAATCTTGAATTTAAATTATGCATATATAAACAATATTTATTGCATAAAAATGGTTTTTAAGACTTTAGCTCAAATGCTTTAAAATACAGTATAGATATTATTATTATTATTATTATTATTATTATTATTATTATTATTATTATTATTATTATTATTATTATTATTATAATGTACTTAGCAATTTATTTTCATTTTCTATTAACAGAAAATGAGGAAAAAGAGTAAAATGATCATAATTTAATGAAGGTAAGGATGGAATTAGATATAGAGGCTCAATCTAGAATATAACTGAAATCATAATAATGATATATATATATATGTAGTTATTTAGGCGTTTGAGAAATATAAATTAATTTATTTTTCCGGTATAAGTTTACATGGAAACAAACTAGTTTATTGAAACGCTAATTAAAGTAGTTTATGAGAATTTTTTTTCATCTACTCCAATTATAACCCTTATTAATATTGTTATTATTTTTATTAATTATTAATTAAAAAAATAATTATTACTAATATTACTAAATAGTAATTAATAGTAGTATATTAGT